TGTACTATATGGTCAAGTTTGGGATATGTGTGAGTTGTTCAACTTACAAAGTTCTCAAGCCAGACACATCAACATTGGTCGCCATCATACAGAAATCATCAAAGGTGGAAGGAGTGCTGGTCCTCACTGGTTAGCAGCCTAGGTCTAGATAATTAGTTTGTTGCCAGCGTCAACTGAGTCCAAAACTATTAGAAATGCATCACTCAATGTAAATTGCTCACGAGACAAGCGTTTATGTGGTTCCTAGATCGAAACATGTTTGGAAAGTCAAAGTTCCTTTAAAAACATGTTTCCACATAAACACTTTGATTCCTAGATTGAAAGATGTTTGAAAAGTCAAAGTTCCTTTAAGAATCAAAGTGTTTATGTGGTTTGTACATAAACAAGTTATTTTAACGAAGGATAATTTAGTAAAACGCAATTGGACAGGATCTACCAGATATAGTTTCTGCGACCAACACGAATCCATCAGACATCTCTTTCTGGATTGTCCCTTAGCAAAAAATTTGTGGCGGTCGGTCCACATAGCTTTTAACATTACACCACCAAATTCCATCAATACGTTATTTGGGACGTGGCTTGATGGGATAAATTTTGATACAGCAAGACACATTCGTGTGGGAGTGTGTGCTTTATTATGGGCAATCTAAAATTGCAGAAATGATTTGATTTTTAACAGAACAACAAATATTCATTTTTTGCAGGTTATATTCAGAGCCACTGCGTTGATCCGTATGTGGTCGCTACTCACTCGACGGAGGCCAGAGAGCGTTCGGTTACTGCGTCTACCCGATGGAAGATGGTAGCACGGGGTATTTTCAACCGATTTGGATGGCAGTCATGTAATAGGATAGGCATGTAGTGCTCTTATCTTTCTATGCCAGCCGGTTGTGGCTTTTCCTTTTTCTCTGTTTAGCTCTGGTGGAGCCTTTTACTTTTTTGTTCGAGACTTGGAGACCTTTGTTGAATATTTTGCTTATTAATAATATGAGCCATATGCATCATTCAGATGCAGAGGTGGGGTATCCCCTTTTCAAAAAAAAAATGAATAAAGTCACAACCGGCAAGGTCAAATAATACACATGTTTAAACCATTACAGAGGTGCATGCCAATGACCACCAGTCAATGGCAGCTAGATAAAGGTCTAGCAGGTGGCACGTATGCCAGGTAGAAAGGGGTGCTTCTTTTTCTCAAACCATCAAGGCAAATATTTTGAGGTTCAAAAAAGAAAGGTGCGACCCATAAAAACCACACAGACCCAAAAGCTTAAATGACCCAAGGATCACTAATCCAAGAATCAGCAATCCACGACTCGAAGACAACCAAACCCAGTATAGACAAGAACATAAGTACAATGTCCATTTGGAAATAAGTGACGATTTTTTAGTTCAAATGGAGGGAGTACATGACAAGACAATTATAAAAGCGAGTTCCACCTGCTGCAAGAGCCAGCAGTCAGCTACATCATAACCCAGAACTACTACGACCGCAGCAACGGAAGCACGACACCACGGATGAGCAGGGCGATCAAATCAGGCTCGGTAACAAAATACAAAATCAGCGCAAGATAAAACGAAGGTGACGACATGAAACCTTCAAGATGCCTGCAGCAGCTCCTTGATATCATATCCCTGCAGCTGAAACACAAAAACAAAGAAATTAAATTAGTTTAAGCACTTCTATATTTTTCTTCCACAAAAGGTAGGAGCTCTGTCAATCAGTATAAGACGGCAACATTTATGTAGAAAAAAAAGGATCAGGGACCAGCATGAGGGGGGAACTGAAAATGAGCAATGCCAAAAAGCACCCTAAGCGACAGAGCATAGTGAAACACATTGCATACAGGTAGGCAAATGGTTATCAGTTGTACAACAAAATGGTGACATAAAGATAATATATACCTGAGAACGGTTAGTAAGAATGTTACTCCAGAATTCCAAACAGCATGAATTGCAATAGGAGTAAGAAGATTCCGAGTTTGAGAATATGAGAATCCCAGTGCCACACATGTGCTTTGCACATTCAACACATGGAAAAGATAGTCATCTCCACACTGTCAAATCATGTACCACAACAACTCTGCATATCAAATCATTCCCCTCAAACACCGCATCTTCCTATGGCTTCTACTCTGGGGGCGGCTCAATACCCGGGATAACATGATGAAGAAACAATGGAAGTCCATCGTTACACATCAAGACTGTGCTATCTGCCCTGCTGCTGAATCTGCTCTGCACTTGGTGTTACGCTGCTCTCCGGCTACCATTTGGCATCTGTTTGATCTCGATACCCTTGCTTCCAATTCCTCGGACATCGTCAGCTTCATACAGCGGGCTAAGCAACGGTGGCCAGCAACCAGCAAATTCAACATCCTCTTTGCTGCCGCTGCCGTTACTGCATGGCACGCCAGAAATGACAGGATTTTCAACTACAAGAGGTGGTCATCGACGTATATAAAGCAGTACGTCGCACAGTTGCTCCGTTTGTGGAAAAATAGTTGCCATAAAAAAGATGATCATGATGCTATAGCTGCTTGGTTACTTT